TAGGCTACTACTTGGCATACCCGTATCCGCCCGGCGCTTTCAATAGAAACGGTTATTATATTCGTAATTAGCATGCTCACTTACTTCTCTGTGCCAACCCCACAGTCCCGTAGGTTAAAAATTGCAAAAAATTGATAAATTTGATATCAATCGATAACGAAAAGTAGCCTACCATGTGCGCAAAATCTGGTCTGAATTGGTTCACAGATAAAAATTTCTATTTCGCAATACATACACATATAGACAGAAGACAGAATAGACATTCACCTTTATATACAGTTCCAAAAATGTGCACATTGTTTGATCGTTAGTGACTTCCCTGCTTTGATGTCTTTCGCCGACCTTTAGTTACAATTCTTCAAAGCAATGTTCAACTTAGACTTGCAGTAAAGAGCGAATAAGCGATTGCTTTTTGTTACTGTAGAATTGAGATTGAACTTACTCAGAGACTTCAGGCCATTGGAGGCCATATTTTGCCTCGGAACAAAACCAAACAAGATAAAAACTTTTATACTATGGTAGTGGAAGCCGCTGATTTCGAATATGAAACTTCCACTTTACTATGATGCTTCTTTCCTATGTTACCCTAGGTAAATCGTGAATTTCCAACATTTGTCAGAAATGTGATTGCACCGTCAAAAAAGCTGAACACTCATAAAAACCTGTGTAGTGGAATCTGCCTGCGCGCATCCTAGTAAACGATTGTTCAGATTTTTTGAAAGAAGTTTTGTCAGATGGCATATTTCACAGTGGTTCCATATGCTGGAAGTTTTTACCGTAACCCTACAGTAACGAAGAGCGAAAGTGATTTGCTTTATAGTTTGAGTTAAAGTTGGACCTCGTTCTAAAGATTGTACCCAAAAGTCGGCGAAAGACGTCAGCAAGGAATTTACTAACGATCAAACAGTGTGCACATTTTTTTCAGAACACTCTGTTTAAGATGATAGCACCCTAAGGCTCGTCCAGAGTTGCCCGAGCCAGCTCTATTCCAGCACCGTTCTCACTTTGTTGCCGGAATCTGATCGATTGGGGCGAGTACACGCGCCGGCATGGCACTATGGGCAACTCTGCAGGCGCGCGTATGCCGTTGTAGCGGCGTACTCTGAAGGAAGCTTGTGTGGATAATTGGTAATTTAGAGCCAGTTACAGTCCTCCTTCCTCAATTCAAGCCGCATGTTCAAAAGTTTAAACAGGGCGTGCGCACGTCGAATACCCACCTTCTTCCCCCCCCCCCCCACAAAGGTTTAGTGAAGAAGACTCGCCTAACGTCATCACGTTTTAGTGCTTCCTAAAGGGAGTAATTTTCGCTACAGGGCTATAACATTTCGCTTAACACAATGCCTCTTCGAAACGGCTTCTTCTCCTGTCTTGAAAAAAATGCGTGTCTATTTCTGCCTTTCAGCAAAAAAAGCGAACATTTTTTCTCTTGCAAATTGCATCATCTTTGTGTAATTGGATCTATAGGATCATCCATTTGCAGTCAAATCGACGATCTGGATGGCACGCTGCTGGGTGAAGGGACATTCGGTCGCGTAGTCAAATGTCGATACCTTGACAACGGTGACTTACAGTGGAAGTAAGTTTATGAATTCTCTTTAAAGAGCCCGCACAACTGTGACGGACGCAACTGACTTTATACTTAGTGTATCAAGTTATGTATATTATGTGCGGATGTGAGCTTGCATAATGATAGCAGAGGCAAGAGATCACTCGTAATAGCAATACATCCATTTTTACTATTTATAGCAGGATTCTTGGAGGATATTCATGCTGCTTCAAGCGTTTTTCATGCGCAAATCTCATTGACTCAATCTCATGACTGGGGACTTGATCATATCTGTCGCGAGAAACCCAGACCGGCATTCTGATTGGGAGATTGCCTGAGACAATATACTCTCCCGCATTCATGCAGACCGGGAGAATATCTGAGCTTTAGCACGAGACATAGTGTAGTCGTGGTAGCCAACTACGGTGCAACTTGCGCTTACCGCTGTTCCCTCGAGAGTCTTGCATGTCATACTCATGTTTTCGAGTTATACGTAAAGTTGCAAAGAAAGGTCCCGAGCACTTGCGGATTTTTTCTTCAAACGGCTATAAATTCATGCAGATTTATCCTTCTTGAAAGCTGCAAACTTAGGTGCAAAGAACGTGTTGTCTACAAGATATGCGCATTTTATTAGGTCCTTAGTATTGCATTTCGAGCCACAAGTATCGCAGAAGGGAAAAGGTCGACTTGAAAACAATCCTGTTTGTGCATGATTTTTTCAAACACGAAGATTGCTGGAGAGCCCGTATTAACTAGCTATATAGGAATCCACCAAGGCTGTTGATTGGGTGAATACGGCTTTAGGGCAACCCTTGCAAAAAAATTCTCCCAGAAAGTTTGAAAAATTGGCTATTTTTGCACTCCGAAAATGCCCCGTTTTTTGAGTGAATGATTTGGAATCCTTCACTTTTTGCACGGAACGAGCCAAATCTTTGATTGCTACATATATTGTTTGGGTAATGCCTCGCGCGTCTTTTGAACCCATCAGCCAGGCGCAGCGATCCGTACAGAGTTGACGCCAGCTGCGAAAAGAGTTGCCGTCAGAGGAAAGTTGGAGTGTGACTTTTGTGCGCTCACAGCAAATTTTGAGAGCAGCTGCGGATTTGTAGTCGACAAGCTCCTCATTTGAATCATCCAAGATTTAGACGACTTTGCTTGTTTAGGACGAACAGTTGGTATTAGGAAGAAAATTTTGAGATTTTAGCCCTTGAATAGGTTTCCTTTCTTAGTCTCTAGACCAAATACGACTAGGCGTTGATCAAAAGAATGGTTGTTACAAGCCCTAAGCCCTCTACTACAAAATAGTGCAAAAAAATGAACAGTAAAAATTTGACCGAGTGCGAGAAAAAAGAGTCTGAACGTGAAATTTTTAGAACTGCCCGGGAACTTTCTATACAACCTAATACTTACCAGTATTTGAATGGATATTTATCGTAAACTTCTCACAACATTTGTACACAATTTGAATCAAGTGATCGGAGTTTCTCAAGTAGTAGGAGTGTAAACAAAATTAAACACAGGAGCGCAAGGATACCTATGAAATAATTGCATTTCTTCTAGTCAGCGTGGTTATGAGAGAATAAGTGTTTAATGTTAAAACGTATAGAGCTTGTGCGATAAAGATTGATCTCTTGCTTGTTTTGTTTGTGGAATGATTTCTTGCTTGTTTTGTTGTGGATCGGCTTCGTAAACCAAGATTTTTGGCGCATCCTGTATATATATATTATATATATATATGCAGGAATGATCTTGCAATTAGTCCTTTTCTATCTTGCAAGCAAGAGCTTTTCTGTGCTTTCAATGTGTTTGTTCCCAGAGACGTCGCCATAAAGTACGCAAGTTCTGCTTATCGCAGTGCCTTAGTTCGAGAAGCCAAGATCTTTTATACCTATTTGAATCACAAAAACTGCATAAAATTCTTCGGGCTCTACAACTGTCCTCTGAATGGTACGGGCATAGTTATGGAATTGATGGATTGCAGTCTTGCATGGCGTGAGTTTCCCAATGGAATAGCACTTGGTTTATAATAAAATGATATTTTAGTTATTTCGAAGCAGTCTATCAAATACGAAGTTGATCACGCTATTTCTTGGCTATATCAATTGTCAGATGCAATAAATTTTTTTCACAGTAAGGAGCAAGTTCATAGAGATTTGAAGCTACAAAAGTGAGTATCTTTTACATGACTATTTAATGATACAAACAGTGAATTCTGCTCCGCGTAGTCCATCGGCTCTCTGTAAAGTTCGGAAGTTTATGCAGATGATTTTGAGCATTTGAAGGTTCGCACACAAGAGCATTACCTAAATAGTACGTTGAAAAATCGGATGTCACTAGAATGGGAATAATGAGTGGGGAATTTTGGATGTAGGAATTGAAACGAAAAGCAACGGCCTTGTAAGGCTTTTCTTCAGCTGCACAACTCTTCCATTATAACTCTATTTTGAAGAAGAGAAAACAGCAATGGACTTGAGAACTGCAAGAGGGAACGACGACTTACGCAGATCGAACACATCCCGCTCAAAGCTGCAATAGTTCATCCTTTGGTTGTCACCGCCATTGCAGACATTGCATCCATACTTCCTCAGAACTCGCACCGGCTGGCGGCCTTTCGACGGCCGGCTAGTTCGTCGCCGACGTTTCGGCCGGAACAGCCACCAGCCGGAACCCGTACGGCCGCCGGCCGGTATGGGTCAGTGGCGCACCGAAATGGCGCTGGGCCACAGTATCTCTTATTCTAACTTCTAGTTTTCAGCACGGTAATCTCAATACGGGGTGGTGAATCTACATGGACATTTCGATTATAACACTATATAATGCGAAGACATTGACAAAAAAGAATGCCACACAGAATGTCATCCTCGAAAAATACATTTGACTACAAAGCTAGCAACTTTTTATCTATATGGAAAGATCCTAAAGCAACGGGTTCACACATCGTCGGACAAGCGTTCCGAATGCGCCAGTGGGTACAGAATGTTCTAGTTCTTGTACTTTTAAACACACACGTAAGCAATAACAAGCTGCATTCGATGATCTGTGAATGAAACAAACTATTGCCGATTTAGGCAGGCGTTATACTCCTCGAGAAGTATAGCATGGCGGCGATCGAAATGCATCTGATACGTGTAAAAGTGGCGATTTTTGTCGTCAATATTGGCGATCGCCATCGTAGCGACTGGCGATCGCCCGTCGTCATGCTGTACTCCTCGGGGAGCATAGCGCCTGCCTTAGCTGACACTAAAACTTACATGCTATGCATAGAGTTGCAATAATGTTTGTTAGTATTAGTATTTATAGCAAATAGCAAAAAAAAAGCATAACAGCAGACGGTTAGAACATGATTATATCTGTCCTGAAAAACACTGCAACGCTGTTTTTACATGATTTTCAAAAAAAAAACATCTTTTGGAGTGGGACCAGCAGCCGTGACCATCACATTAGCAGAAAGATAGGTAGATATCAGACAGCTTTCCGAATCGTAAATGTCAGTATAGTAGCAACTGCCAGATGAACGGAACCAAATAAATTCTAGAATACCCAGCAATTCATAGTCCAGAAATTCAATGTTAGAGGAGGAGCATCCATTAGGAGCAATATTCGATTTTAGAATAACAACTGAGCAGTCAACCATTCGCTGAACTTCCTAGAAAAACAAGAACGTAAACACCATACATATTGCAATTGTCTCCTAAAAATAGTGATCATTCAATTTGTACTTCATTAGTTCGTAACCCAAAAAGGGATGCGACACATAGACTTAACGCACAGCAATATTGGCATGAACTCACTGACGTTCGGCTTTTTCACCATTCAAGTCAAAATAAGCAGTTCGCCGTAAGTTAAGTAAGCAGGAATATAGAAAGAAGAGATAACGAACACCATGGAGTTTGATCAAATCTAAAAAAGATAGTGGAAGCGGAATTATAGTAATGGGCTACATCAACTATCAAATTCGGACATAGAAAATGGCGCGACCGAGATGGAAAACCCCAACAATAACGAAAATTAATAAAGCAGTTTTCTGCTGAGACACAAGCGCCCAATGTTTGAAGTTATTTTCTTACCGTACGCGCTATCTTGTGCGCTTTATGAGCTTTTGCACAGTGGAACGGCCGCCGACCGGCATGATTTACTGGTCCGGTGGCCGGCCGCGTTCGGCTCCGCCCAAAATGATGGAGCAACGGCCGCCGGCAGGCGCGAGTGCCCGAGTCCAAATGAAATAGTCAGATCTTTGGAAGATGGTCTTTCTGACAGTTTCGCGCCCTCTAAGTTGATTTTTGATACAGCGGAAAGCTTAAGCTAGATAAGCAGAAGTATTCATACGACTTGCCCAGACGCTGCTTCCGAGCGAAATACGAATAGAAGCAAAAGCTGGAAAAAGATCTACTATAGTGCTGGATGAAGGAACATACAAAAGAATCGCCGAGAGTAGGCGGCCGTGCTATTCACAGTCAAGCGGGCACTGGAAGAATAGTTGGCTAATTCCTTGCGGTCCGCCCCCAGATTCGGAAGAATGTTGGCCACTTTTCAGACGAACGCCCAGAGAACAACTGCGGCTTGTAGATTGATTGCGGCGCAGTGACCCCCTCCTCGCAGACTCAATAAACCGTCCATTCCAAGATGCTGCTATCCTTGGTCTGTGTCTCAGAACTGCCACTGTGGCTAACATGTTGGCAACGTTGGCTACAACATGTTTGCGGCATGCAGCAACATATTGTCGTGGAGGCTACTAGCCAAAATGCTCTGTCAACATGTTGCTACATGTCGCAAACATGTTGTAGTGGACGTTGCCAACATGTAGCCACATGTGGCAGGTCTGAGACGCAGACCAACGGTAGCAGCAACTGTGGAAGAAACGATATGCAAGACGTTGAGCGCACTTCTTTATAAAGAACCCACAGCCTACCTTCCGCTGAGAGAAAGTACCCTAAACTTGGGAAATTGAACCCAACGATAACACCTCTGCCATATAAGGTGTTATCTATGCTCGGGACGTATGCCCGAAACTGCGTAATAATGATCACCGCTTGCTGGAAGAAATTATTTAACGACTGCTCGCAAAAAATTCTGTGCTGCCTGCTGGCAGAACACGTGACAGTGAAAGAAGACGCTCGCTGAAGGTTTGGCAATGTCCAAAATTCTGCTGAACGCCTGCAAGAAAGCGCGAGTTTGCGTTCCGCCTGTCCCGATTATCTGAGTGGTCGTTGATGGATCACAGTCACAAGACGGACTGAAGGAGCTCGTATCAGGTATAGGCTGTATCAACCAGCATTGATCTTGTGCTGGTATGCCCTGCACCAACGCATGCGACGCGCCCTAACGCGTGGCAAATTTCGCCCGCGTCACACTGCACCCTTCGCCGATGCTGGTAATACAGCGAATATGTTATTCCGTTGAGAACTCTCAATATGAACTACGGGCTTCGAGGTCGCGAGTCCGCGGACAATGCCTCAACAACTTGCAAAAAAACTAATGTCGGAAAGAGAATAGTTTAGAGGCAAGATCGTTTTCAGTCAGCGATTTTTATCGTGAAGGGAACAAGGAAGGAAGTACAGTTGTGACCGTGGAATTTGTCCAAAATTGCGGGATTTCCGGGATTCGCGGGATTTTCGGGATTCGCGATGTTTGCGGGATTCGCGACTGCACGGGATTTCCGGGATTCGCGGGATTTGCGGGACTTGCGGGATTTAGCTATAACTTCTTTTAAATCCACTTTATTTGCAATCTGCGTGTAGATTTGGCTTCAGCTTGATGAGACGAATCGTTTGATATACAGTATGTCCGTAATTCGTGGTGAGGGGGTAGACTTACAATGATACCTTGTTGTTCTCTATGTTAAGGCTTTTGTGAACATTTATCACAACGTAAATCACGAATAGCAGGTTCTGGTACGAAGTTTTCATTATCGAAAACTATCGCGAAAAATTGGGCAGTTTTTATTTACCCTTATCACTGATACAAGCATTTTATCATTTATCACTGATAATATCACATTTTTGGATCATTTTTTGCATATGGTAAGGAAAGTGCTGTAGGAAAAGCTGTGTGAATTTCTATCGCTCTTTCTCTCATTATAAGTGATCTACAGGCTTTTCTAGTTCTATTGCTTGGTGCAATTTGTAGATCCCTCCTGCAGCAATCGATCGATTTTTCATCGGCACATGCCATTGCTGCCAATTCTTACCTAGAATGGCATTTTTGCTTCAACTCGCTTCACGCCGAAGTTTGGGCTGAAATTCTGCACCTATATGGAAGATGAACGTGGAAATCGACCGCATGAATTTAAGCCATTCTTATCTGTCGTTGTCATTCATATCATCATTTTATCATTTATCACTGACGACACAAAATTGGATCATTTTTGATATACAATAAGAAATGTACTTTAGAAAACGCTGTGTGAGTTTTTATCGCTCTATCTCTTATAGTACAAAACCACTCACAGAACATGCAAAATTTCCGGAAATTCCCCAAAATTCATGTGAATCACGCAAATTACGCAGGGCCATAACTTCTTTCCGAATGAGTATATTCAAAATCCGAAAACAATGTTGTATTCAGCTCGTCAAGGCGAATTTTCTAATATACAGGTTGTCTCCAATATCTTGTTTTCAATAATCTTGAATTTGCATGCCGACGCCTCTTCGCATGGGTGTAACGCAACAAGCATCACACATAGGAGACTGCCATGGGCACCGTTCGATAGTACTCTTTCACTAGATTATCGTGCGTTAAACAGCAGCCGAAGACTCTCTTTCAAAAGAGATAGAAGAGCTGATAAACTCTGGAAAAATCAAGGTGTTCCAAGTTCTACTAGCCGTAACTTTCTTTAGAATGAACATTTTCGAAATCAGAAAGCAGATTTGTGTTCATCTTGTCAAGTCGAATCCTACTGTATACAGCATGTCCTTGAAATTCCGTTTTCAATTTTTTCAAAATTTTCTGCGCGCGTAGATTCATAAGGTCGCAACGCAGCGCACATCAAACGTAAAAGACTCTCTTAAGCACTTTTGGATTGTGCTGCTTCCGCAGATTATCGAGCGCTAAGAAGCAGCCGGAGAATCTTCTTGAAAAAAGATAAAAGAGCTGGTGAATTCTGGAAAATCGTGTTGTCCCAAATTTTGCCCACAGTGACCCTAAAATGAGGAGCTCTACTGCTAAGCAGATGTGATTTTCGTAATCAGCAGGTCAGATAACCTCTATGACCAAGTTTTCAAAGAAATTTGGGTGATTTGATTTTTCCTCGTTCTACGCCCTGGAGCTCGCCGATGGGTTTTGGTCAAAATGTCGATGACCTTGGATTGTAGAGAAACTTCGCCCAAAGAGGTTTTCGAGCACGCTGTTTACGAAAATAGTGGTCTTTGAAGAAGACAGGGTCTTTTTGTAGAGATAATGTGAGGTGACTGTAACTGAGTCACGAAAGTTCGTAGATTTGCCTGCACTTTTCGCGAATTTGTCAGAAAACTTGCCTGCTTGCTTTTTTAAGTCAAAATCATTGGGAACTGTGCTATCAAAAGGTGCATGCTCAGGCTCCAGTCTATAAAATTCGCCGAGTTACGAGCCTACGAAAACACGTCTTCATGAATTTCGCTCAAAATGTAAAAATCGCGTATTTCGTCGAAATTCCACCCTCAGTGGTGTATGATATTCTGATTGCATATGCTCACTTCGCCTAAGGGATCCCATTGAGTTGAATATGGTGGTCGCGCGTTCTTCAGCTGCTCATTTGAATATCCAAGTACCTTCGTAGCTTGAGCTCAGATCTACCTAATTTCCAAATCCAGCACATTAAGACCATTAAACAATGTAAACAGATTGGATCAGTATGTCATACAACCACTGAGGCTGGAATTTCGACGAAATACGCGATTTTTACATTTTGAGCGAAATTCATGAGGACGTGTTTTCGTAGGCTCGTAACTCGGCGAATTTTATAGACTGGAGCCTGAGCATGCACCTTTTGATAGCACAGTTCCCAATGATTTTGACTTAAAAAAGCAAGCAGGCAAGTTTTCTGACAAATTCGCGAAAAGTGCAGGCAAATCTACGAACTTTCGTGACTCTACAGTCACCTCACATTATCTCTACAAAAAGACCCTGTCTTCTTCAAAGACCACTATTTTCGTAAACAGCGTGCTCGAAAACCTCTTTGGGCGAAGTTTCTCTACAATCCAAGGTCATCGACATTTTGACCAAAACCCATCGGCGAGCTTCAGGGCGTAGAACGAGGAAAAATCAAATCACCCAAATTTCTTTGAAAACTTGGTCATAGAGGTTATCTGACCTGCTGATTACGAAAATCACATCTGCTTAGCAGTAGAGCTCCTCATTTTAGAGTCACTGTGGGCAAAATTTGGGACAACACGATTTTCCAGAATTCACCAGCTCTTTTATCTTTTTTCAAGAAGATTCTCCGGCTGCTTCTTAGCGCTCGATAATCTGCGGAAGCAGCACAATCCAAAAGTGCTTAACAGAGTCTTTTACGTTTGATGTGCGCTGCGTTGCGACCTTATGAATCTACGCGCGCAGAAAATTTTGAAAAAATTGAAAACGGAATTTCAAGGACATGCTGTATACAGTAGGATTCGACTTGACAAGATGAACACAAATCTGCTTTCTGATTTCGAAAATGTTCATTCTAAAGAAAGTTACGGCTAGTAGAACTTGGAACACCTTGATTTTTCCAGAGTTTATCAGCTCTTCTATCTCTTTTGAAAGAGAGTCTTCGGCTGCTGTTTAACGCACGATAATCTAGTGAAAGAGTACTATCGAACGGTGCCCATGGCAGTCTCCTATGTGTGATGCTTGTTGCGTTACACCCATGCGAAGAGGCGTCGGCATGCAAATTCAAGATTATTGAAAACAAGATATTGGAGACAACCTGTATATTAGAAAAT